CTTGCAGCTAGTCTCTTTCAGTGTTGTCCTTCTTCCCATGGTGCGGACTTTCTTGGTGCCAGGCTCAGCCCTGCCTGGTTTTTGAATCTCTGTCCCACTCCTAGCACCCCCCTCACCGTGGACTGCCTGGTGTCTTGACCATACACAGACCAACCCTCAGTCATGGACCCATGGAGATTTTTAGGTGATCTCTCTAAGCAGGCCCCTCTTCTTTAGTGCCCTGCTCTGAAGGTTCCAAACTCTAATCTATTTCCTCTGCTCAGTCAGACGGCTGGACTGGGCTTGGGCTCCTCCTCCCTGTGCCAGGGTCCAGAACCTGGCCCTTTTCAGGAATAAGACCCGGCTTGTTTCTCTTCTTACAAGGATTGGTGTCCTTTGTCATGTTATCCATTGCCAAAAAGAAAAAAAGTTTCTGCAAATATTTTGCCCAGTTGTACAGCTTTTAATACCAGGAAGACAACTCCATTACTCCCTCATGGATGAAAGCAGAAGACATCTGCTTGATTTGAAATTTATTGTTAGTTTCTGTTTTATACAGAATTTTTATTTATTGGATTTCCTATAAAATATTATACGAAAGTCAAATTGCTCCACTCAATTTTTAGTCTTTTTTCCTCTGAAAAGTGGTTCCCTTTTGAAATATCTGTTCGAAGCTTTTGCCCATTGTTAAAGTTGTTATATTTTCTTTTTGTTGAGTTGCGAGATCTCTGTGTATATTCACGTCCTCTGTGAAATACATAATTTGCAAATGTTTTCTTCCAGTCCATATGTTGTCTTTTCGTTCTTTTAGTAGTTTCTTTCATGGAGCAAAAATATTTTAGCTTTACCGAAGTCCAATTTATTAATGTTTTGTTTTGTGGATCAAGATTTTGGTGTTATGAAATTTTTTTGTGTCTAATCCAGCATCAAAACATTTTCTCCTACATTTTTTTGGTAACTGTCTTAGAGTTACACGTTTTACATTTAGGTATATGAATCACTTTGGGTTAATTTTGTATGAAGTATTAGGTCCTTATTTTTGCATATGGATGTCTATATTAGTTATCTATTGTTATAAAACAAATTACCCTCAACCTTCATGGCTAAACACAAACATACTTATAGTTTCTGTGCAGCATGTATCTGGACACCACTTAATTGACTAGTTCTGGCACAGAGCATCTGATGAGTCTGCTGTCAACTGTGGCTAGAGTCATCTCAGAGCTTGACTGAGGGTTACTCTGCTTCCAAGCTTAGTCACATGGTTGCTTAAAGGCCTCAGATGACTGTTACCCAGCTTTTCCATGTGGCGGGTAGCAGTCCATGATTCCTTGCCACCTAAGCCTCTCCATAGGATGCGTATACATCCTCACAATATGACCCTGACTTCCACTACAGCAAGTGACTCAAGTGAGACAGAACATGGGACAGTGAAACCAAGACGGAATTCTCGGTCCTTTTTTACCTAATCTTAAACATATTTCTTAACCCACCACAATGTCTAGTTATTTTAGCACTATTTGTTAAAAGACTGTTCTTTCTGTATTAAAATGCCTTTTCAATTATGTCAAAAATTAATTGTACACATTTATGTGGGTCTATTCTAGACTCTCATTCTGTTCCATAATAAAATATATATTAAAGTTTTATTTAGATTATGTTAAATATGAGTGATTAGAGGCCAGAAGCTCTGTTTCGCACTAATATAATTACATTGTATTATTTTCTAACAACATGAGTATCTGGCCTTAGAGACATGATGCTTAACCATCATGATAGATGCTTCAAGACCTGCCTGCTGATTATAATCTGACCACAGCAAGTGGTATGGGCTAAAGGTACAACAGGGAGATTTGTAGCTAGGAGACGAGGGTGTGGACAAGCAATGTTCTGTCATTATGACATTGCTTTTCCATTCTGAGTTCTGTCACATGGTGGCTAGGCTGTCTGGGGCAAAGAGAATTAGATATCTGGCTAGAGTGTAAGGGTTGTTCGAATGGTGCTTGATTTTTTAATGCTGCTTTAAACACAAAGACAGAAAAAAGAGAATAAAAGTCAGATAACCAGATCCTCAACCCCCACTGGTTTTAGTATCACCTCATTTCTCAAACAAAAGGTAGTTGTAAAAATGTAGTTTGGAATACCAATGAATTGCACTTTTCTCCCTTTGCATAATTAGTAAAATCCTATGAAAGCTACATGAAAATCAATTAATTTTTTAAAAGACAAATTTGCCCTGAACAAAATTAAAAGGCAAGAGACAAACTGAGAAAATACTTGCAACTCTTATTACAAAAAGGAATTTGTATCTTTAGTGCACAGATTATTTAGGAGAGAAAAAATATGTGTATAGTTCCAATAAAAACCAGGACAGTCATGCAATGTACAGTATTCAAAATATAAGTGGCTAATAAATTTAGGAAAATTAAACTTTATTAGTTATCAAATAAATAACAACTAAAATCATGATATTTTTCCCATCCAATTAATGAAGATGAAAATTATGTAACATGTAGTGTCAAATGGCCACTTTCATACACTCTTATTATTAAAGTAACAACTGTTCTAACTGTTCTGGAGGACTATTCACCAGTCTATCAGAAGAACTAGGACTCTAAAGTGTTTGTTCCCTTTAGTCTACTAAGAAAAGTCAGAAATCCCCAGAAAGTTGGGAAAATTTCTAATCAATACAAATATTCAAGAGTTACCACACACTATTAACAATAATACATAACACTTTTAGGATTGCAGACTATGCTGACAGTTAAAAGTATATTTTCTTTTTTTAAACTTTTTTTGTACAAGTGCAATTTAGCTACATCGATATATTGCATTGTGGTGAAGTCAGGGCCTTCGGTGCATCCATCACTGGAGCAATGCACATTATACCCACCAAGCAAGTTCCCACCATTCAATCCCCTTCCATTTCCCCTGACCCCTCTGAGTCTCCAATGACCATCATTCCACACTCCAAAAGCATGTTTTCAAATAATATTTACTATCTTGAGAAATGTGCATGAAATAAACAAGGCCAGAAAAGTGTATATGTCTGTACACACACACACACACACACACAAACACAATGCAAATGTCTTGAGGGACTATCACAGTAGTGAAAGTGACTGGTTTTCTCTAGTTCGGTAGAATTATGATTTTTCATTTTCTTTATATTTTTCCATAATGTATATATTTTCTGGAGGGAACATTACTATCTTTATCATCAGAACAAAACGTAACAAAACAATTTTCTTTGAAGACAATTTTAAAATGCATTAAAATTTTTAAATTTTAAATTTTAAATTTAAATTTTAAATTTTAAAATTGTAATCCTTTAATTTTAATTTTAATTCGTTACATTTAAAATTTAAAATCCTTTAAAAAGGAGATGGTTTAATTTAAGGAAACCTACAGTGAATCTTATAAAGTTATTATGTTTATAATACAAACTCTTACCCTTCAGTGTATGTATTTTTTTAATACTTTATGTTAAAAGTGTTATAGATATTTCATCTTCTTCTTAAACAGGGCACATGTGCACTATAGTTGACAGAAATAAAACATTATAATTTTTGAAACTATTTGAAAATTGTCAGTTTTAATAAGAGCAATATTCTGAAATATTTGTAATTTGACACTCAAAATGTAAAACCCTCACGTGATTTACATATTGATTTCATGTGTATGTTAGATTATACCTCAAGAAAACGATACCCGCTCTAGCCTGACATATAAGTACATCATCCATGAAGACTCAGTACCTATGATCAACAGCAACAATGTCATCCAGGAAGAATTCGATACTTTTGAGTGGGCTTTGAAGAGCTGGTCTCAGTGTTCCAAACCCTGTGGTGGAGGTAACAATTGAACACATTTATTTTATCAAAATGTAATGCATATAAAAACCAATCTTGCTTCTACCTTCATGGCTGTCTCTAATCGAGGCCACAATCTGAGAAACACCAAACATAACCATCAAAACATCAATACAAAACATTTTTACTGAAAGAATCATCAAATAACAGGATTCCTTTCATAACAGTGACAGACTGTAAAATCTTCTTGCCCTTTTCTCTCAGGTCCTTTGTCTTGCATTTACTGTAGTGGTCCTCTTAATCACTTTATTCTTCCCAAACTCCAAAACTCTCCCAAATTCATTGTACTCTGCTCCTCACCTTTCTTCTTCCCTACTTTTACTTTCTATATCTCTCTGCATTTCTACCAGAGTTAATAATAAAAGGGCTATTGGTTGCATGACTGTGTAACTGACTATGCTATGTATTTGAAACCAGATGCTATTCTAAATGCTTTATATATCAATGCATGAATACTCACAATGGCCCTATGCAGTTGGTACTATTGTTATCTCTGTTAAAGTGGTAGCAAAACTGAAGGACACACAAGATAATTTCCCAGAGCCCATAGGATTCAAACCCAGATAACCTGGCTTCTGAACACATGCTCTCACTCACTGCACTGTGCTACCTCCGTTCCCTTTCCAGAGTCCATTAAGCTGGACTTAATGTTTCTCCATTTCTCCCATCATCCATTCCTCTAGTTCTAAACAAGTGCTCCATTACCAATTATCCCCCATGGGCAGGAGAAGGCAAGAGGCTATTACAAAAATGTCAGCAAATAGTTGAGAACAAAATTTGTATTAGGCAGTGCTTGTGTAAATTATTTATTTTATAATTTTAAGTTCAAGGCTGTATTTCTAAAGTGTTTTCTTGAGGGAGGCATACAATAGTTAATTATTTTAAATGACATCTCCTTATCCATTACAAGATGCCCATTTAATTTTGACCCTCCCTGCTGCTGTACTCTCAACATTTACTTGGTCACATTATTTGTTAGATATACCTTCTTCATATCTCCCACATCTATTCCTTCTTCACCAGACTCCAATCACCACTTTGGGAGGGACGATTATTGCAATAGCCTTTTAACTAGTCAACTAATATTGATGTTCTTCTCTGCCTTAATTTCCAGGGTAATTTTTCTTGAATGAATGCATGAATGAATGGTAAAATTATATTATTTCCCAGATTAAAATCCTTCAGTCTCCTAATATGTTGCCCTGAAGACACAACATCACTTTATGCAGCATTCTTTCTAAAAGTGAATCACTTGAATCTCATCATTAGAACACAATTAAACAGACCCAAATTGTGGGACATTTGATAAAACAAATGGTTTTTAAATTTCAAAAATAGTAAATGTCATAAGACAAAAACAGGTTCAGTAATTATTTCTGATTGATGGAGGCTACAGACATAACAGTTAAATGCAACATATGATCCTTGACTGGAAAAGGATTGCCATAAATAGCATGATAGGGACAATTGAACATTTTGGAATAGGTCTGTATGTTAGATAATAGCATTATGTCTATGTTAAATGTCCTCATTTTAAGAATGATATTATAGTTATATAAGAGAATGTACTTCTGAAATTTGTGCTTAAATATTTAGGAGTGAC